TTTTCATTTCCTCTCTCTCTTTCCCTCACATGAGCACGCATACACATACACACACACACACACACACACACACACACACACACACACCCCTTTTTGCCCGTGTTATCATAATGTTCATGATGTGAAAGTGTTCATAATTGGAAATGAAAATAATTTAAATTTATGCTATTTTATATGCTGGGTAAGCTTTCAGATTCTTCAACTTACTACCATTTTTGGTACATTAAATGTTTTGTCAGATAAAACAGCTGAGTCACTGGAAATTCTCATATTCCTAATTTGAAGTGGAAAAATAATTTTCTGGGGCTTTATGAACTGTATAGAGAGACAAATGTGGCCTCATGTCCTAGACATCATCTGGCTATCTCTATACCCTCAAATTATAGCATCCCATTTTAAACCTACACTCAAAATGGTTTTCTTTTTCTGTGGAAATTGTGTGTTACTTACTTGTTACTATTTTTCTTTCTCTAGTCATCATAATAATTTTTTCTTTCTCTCTTTTGAATATTATTTCACCCTGACAAACCAGTTCATATGCCACCAGGTATTTGGCAAGTAGTTTGTTGACAAAAGGTTTTAGGGAACCCCCATAGTATTCTCAGTAAGAACAACTTTAGAATCATCCAGCTCTACATTCTGGTCCTCGCCTGGCTGATTACTGGCTGTTTACCTGGAAGCTTCTTCCATGCCTCTAAGCCTGTGAACATTCATTTGCAAAAGCTTATGGCAAAGTGTCCTTGTGGTGCTTGCATATATTAAATACAATAACTCTTGCAAAAATTATTTGCATTGTGTCTGACAGTAAGAACTATAAGTTTTATTATATCTTTTAACCCCTTAAGTGAAATGAAGAATTAAAATACATAGAAAACTTCTAGCATATTCAATTAAAATTTCTCAGATCATACAAGGACAATGGTTGATTTGACCCCTTCCTCATGGAGCTAATATTTAGCTAGAAACTGCAATGAAATAATGCAAGAACAAAGGACAGGAAGAGAAAGCAGTGATCCTGTGATCATTCAAATGTGATAATACATGCAGGGAAGAAAGGAAAAGAATAAGGTCATGGGTCAACTAATCTTTGGAACTATTTTTAGCCTCAGAAGGTTTTATCCCCCTTATAAATTCCATACTTAAAGTTCTAGAATCTAAAATTCTATTCCAGATGATAACTGTTGTGCTGTTTTGGGTTGTAAAAATTCATTTATTCATATACTTAATTTTTCCTTTGACCAAACTTCAAAAAGAATGACTGCCAAAATGTATTACAACCTGTTTTCTCAAATGTTTTTCTCATTATCTCTTTAAAATTTCTCTCTAAAAACATCATAGAGATAACTGCCATTAGGCTAATTGCATGGACTCATATGTGAAGCTTATGGCAATAACAGAGCAGTCATAGAAAGAATAAGGTGCAGTATGCTTCAAAATGCAGCATGCCCAGTGCTGTCAAGTCCAGCCACGCTGTCAATCTTGAGCTAACAGCTGTGATGAACAGAATGTTGTGTTATTCCTTTCGGGTGAAAATGCATTGACAGTTATTTATAGGGAATAATTAATGTAACATTTTGTAAAAGTAATCACGATTTCATTTCTTGAGAATCTGTTATGAAGGAAAAAAAGGATAGGAGATGAAGGAAACTTTTGACCAACAGAATAGGCTTGAACGGAAATAGAGGATGTCTACGACTAAAATGCTATCTTCCAGACTATATAGACATACCATCAACTCTGAGAATAAAAGTTGAAGAGTTAAAAAGTTTTAAAGGAAACAAACCCATCCTCACAGTGATTGTAAATATGTGGAATATCTCTTTGAAGACTATATTATCTGATTTTGTTAATATAGTAAGTGAAAATCATGACAATTTCATGTAATTCTGATTTTTGAATTAATTATTTAAAATAAGCGAGTAGAAAGAGGTAGGGAGGGACATAAGGAAGGAAGGAAGAAAGAAAGGAAGAAAGTATGTATTAATCCAGTAAACATGATGCTGATTTTTTTCCTGCTACATCAATAACACATTCATAATATCACATGGTCAAGTGGCTGGTTAGATATATTAGAGGTTATTTTGGAATTGGGTGATGAAAAAGAAGTAAACTTGGCTAAATTATTTGTCTCAAACCTTTATCACATGTTAGCTGATTAAGTGCTTTTGTATTGTATGTTTGATTATCAGGCTTGTATCTGAACAACTCTTGACTTGTTCAAAAAATAATTTCTGAATGATGATATTTAATATTAATAAGCTAGTGGTAATCATTCTAAGAAAATATTAATGGCTGGGCGCGGTGGCTCACGCCTGTAATCCCAGCACTTTGGGAGGCCAAGACGGGTGGATCACGAGGTCAACAGATCAAGACCATCCTGGTCAACATGGTGAAACCCCGTCTCTACTAAAAATACAAAAAATTAGCTTGGCATGGTGGTGCGTGCCTGTAATCTCAGCTACTCAGGAGGCTGAGGCAGGAGAATTGCTGGAACCCAGGAGAAGGAGGTTGCGGTGAGCCGAGATCCCGCCATTGCACTCCCGCCTGGGTAACAAGAGCGAAACTCCGTCAAAAAAAAAAAAAAAAGAAAAAAAGAAAAGAAAATATTATTCCCAGGGTAGTCAAAAATTATTACTACTTTCCAGTTGTGCTTGAAATATCCTCCTCTGTTCAGCTGTACACCTCTTTGATCTGGACACCTGACATCCCACCTGTACCTGAAGCTTTTACCTTCAGACAGTGGAAGAAAGTAATGGCGATTTTCTCCTGCTCACATTGTAGACTTTACTTTTCAGTGTAACTTTGATAACATGGGACTTCATCTTATTTTTCAGAATAATTGTATGAGTTATTTAAGAAGCCATGCCATTATTTAAGCTCATTTCAATATATACTGTGTTATAGCTGCTAAGTGAGATATTTTTGAAACTGTCATTCAAGAAAGCCAGTGAGCTACTGTCCATGACCCAGCTTTTATTACTCTACTAAATGGTCATTAAAAGACACATCATCAAACCAAACTATTTTCTTCAACAGCATAATTTTAAGCAAAGGTAACAAGCGTTTCTGATACTGGCAACTTGGAGAATATCTTTCACACCATTAAAGTGGCGGAAGAATTGCTTCTGTACCAATCATTTTATTTTATTTATGTATGTGTGTGTGTGTGTTTGTATGTGTTATGTGTATATATAATATATGTATTGATCCTCGGTGAAAATTTCTATAGTAAATGTTCAAAACAATTTTGATGAAAGACCATCTACTATGGGCCAGATCTCTGTGTGGGATACAAGACTTATAAAATATTGTTCCTGTTTGGGAGTATTGTTGAGGAGACTCTATATACTGAAGAAGGGAAAGGTAGTAAATAAACATAAAATATGCTGTGTGAATGAACTCAAAGGTGACCCTGACAAACAAATAAGATAAGGGTGGCAGGGTGGAGGTATTGCAGTGTGTTTACATCTCACGCACTCAGGAGCTAAGTAGAGGGTCTTAGACTGAACTGTTGGCTGCGTTCTTAGTTGCCTACAGTATAGGCCTCCTCCTCATGTTAATAACAGTAGAAAATTCACATTTTACTATAACCTATGTAGAGAGGGATTCAGAAAAGATTTTAATAAGAGGCCAGGAATGAGCTCCAAAGGGGAAGAAATTAGATGATAAAGCATGGAGATGATCTTAAGTCTCTGAGCTTGGGTGTTGAATGGGTACTACAGTCTCCCTCTATAAATAATTTTTGTTTGTGTGATACCCTAAATGTTCTTATAAATTCACATTTTCCACGTGGTGGTCATTAGTGCATGGGAAACATAACAGGTTGCAGTAGAAAATTATTATTGTTTTGTGGTGACTTTTGTAAAAGTAGTTGTGTCCTAAAATTTTGTTGCTTTCCCTGCCTCCTTTTGCTTCCAATGAAGGTCAAGCCACCACTTGCAGTGATTTAGATATGTAGAAAGAGTTCACTGGGGCTACTAGAGGTTGGAAGGTGGGAAGAGGGAGAGGAGCAGAAAGAATAACTAATGGGTACTAGGCTCAGTACCTGGGTGACAAAATAATCTGTCCATCAGCCCTTTGTGACATGAGTTTACCTATGTGGCAGACCTGCACATGTATCCCTGAAGCTAAAATAAAAGTAAAAAATAAAAACAAATAAATAACCCAAAAAATGAATTTACTATTTATGAAGGATAACTGGGACAAGGTTTGGGGCTTATGCAGAACTAAACAGCAGGGGCAGTAGGTTGTATGTAAGTCTACACATGTGATTTAGTTTAGAGTTATCAGTTAAAGTCTAGCTCATTGGAAATTTTAAAGTAATATTGAGAAACTAGTAGATTATTTTAGCAAAAGTTCTAGCTGTACATTTTGGGCTAATTAGTTGGTCAGTGGATTTGGGTGACCTGAGTAAATAAGTAACATAACAAAAACCTGTGTTTTACCAGGTTGACCAGGGAGTGCCACCTAGAACTTCTTGGACAAAATGGAGAACACAGTCAGGGAAACCATTTTCTAGATTTGGAATTATTCCCCTTACTGTCTATTGTAGTGACCAAGCATGAGTTGGTGAGTACTTGGACTAAGATGATAGCAAAGGGAATGGCAAGGAAGTGGAAGAATTGTCAGAACCTGGTAACTTTGAGTATATGATATATAGTATAATGATCCTCAACATTTGTTTAGTATTCACCTGAAAATTTGTGGATTTATTTTTATTTCATTTAATCTCAACCATTTATAAAGCATAGGTACTAATGTCATTACAAGTTAAGCACTTTTTTTAAGATCACATAGTTACCAATTTTTAGAACCAGAACCCAAACCTTAGGTCTATCTGAACCCAAGCTATGTTGTAAAGGATATGGGCTTATCAAAGGCAAAAATAAAATGTGATGCAAACATTTCTAGTTAGGAGACAGATGCTTATGTGAAGTCTGGTTTAACATTGATCACCAGAAAAAGTCTAACATATTTTTTCTTCTCTTATTTTTTTCTAGTGCGACTTCATGATAGCATATCAGAAGAGGGTTTTCACTACTTGGTGTTTGATTTGTAAGTATATACTCTGTATTCATTTATTTTTGCAATCTAATTGAGGACCATTTTTTATTGCATTTTAGGTTTGGGGGTACATGTGAAGAGCATGCAAGATTGTTGCATAGGTACACATGTGGCAGTGTGATTTGCTGCCTTCCTCCCCATCACCTATATCTGGCATTTCTCCCCATGGTATCTCTCCCCAACTCCCCACCCCCTGCTGTCCTTCCCCTATTTCCCCCCAACAGACCCCAGTGTGTAGTGCTCCCCTCCCTGTGTCCATGTGTTCTCATTGTTCAACACCCACCTATGAGTGAGAACATGCAGTGTTTGATTTTCTGCTCTTGTGTCAGTTTGCTGAGAATGATGGTTTCCAGGTTCATCCATGTCCCTACAAAGGACACGAACTCATTGTTTTTGATGGCTGCATAATATTTCATGGTGTATATGTGCCACATTTTCCCTGGGAGACCATTTTGAATTAATAATTTTTCTTATTGTTCAGTCCAAATTACTGACTGCTATAGTGTTTCTTAATGTTCTTCAGGTAACATTCAACTCTTCTTTTGAAAAGAGAATACTACTCAGCATTGTTTTATTTAAAATTTAAATTAAGCTTAATTTGAAGTAATCTTAACCTAAATGAAACAGTTATTTTGCTTTCTGTTGTCTGTTGTGATGCCATAAGTGGTTCTCAGTTTTGGCTTGTAGCAAAATGTTTGACATAGCAAAATTTTCCATTTAATTTTTATTATGTATAATTTATTATCTTAATGAAAAAAGAAGACTCAAAGAAGAAACTTGGATTACCAAAATTGATTTAAACTATTCAAGACTTTTAAAGTGAGGAGCAGTCAGCAAGAATGAAGGGAGAATAATGACTCTTGGCAGGGATATAGTAAAGCAGGCCACACATATGTTTGGTAGGAGTTTAATAAGAACATACTTCCTGGAAATCAATTTGGTGCTACTGTGCTCATCAAAGGGAGTTTAAAAATGTTTGTATCACTTTGACTTAGTAATTTTACTTCTCAGAACACATTCCATGAAAAATATACCCTAAATTCAGTTAAAATTTTATGCCAAAAGATGTTCATTGCATCATCTTTTATAAGGGAGGAAAAAGGAAAAGAAAGAAACCAACTTAAGAATCCAATTATAGAGAAATAATTTCATAATTATAGTATATTCATATAATAGACTACTATCTAGCGTTTAGTGTGATGCCACAAAGGGTTTTCGGAAAGATTTAAAAAATTATTTCACATAATATGAGTTTGAAGATAGGATAATACTAAGTTTGGTTAATTCAATACTTCCATGATGTCATTAAGAAAGCACGTTCTTTCCATCTGTCTGTTTTTAGTAGTATGTGGGTTTGTCTTCATGTTTGGGTTCCCCTTATGGTCTGAAGTCGACTGCCACATTTTCAGTTATCACAGTGACTTTCAAAGGCAGAAAAAGAGGAGTTGAAATTCTATTGCATAAGTTTTTATTCATGGAGATATCTTTCTCAAGAGCCTCTCAGAAGATATCTGTTCAAGAATCCTTAACTGAAACTGCTTCTCAAGCCCACACTAAACCAGGTATTTGTTAAGGGAATGAAATTATAACTGGCATTAACAAACCATAATTTAGTTGATGGATCTCATGAGGGAACTGGCCTCCTCCGAATCATGTGATACCTAGTCCAGAAGAAAATTGTGATTTTGTTATTAAGAAAAAGTGAAAGTTTTGTTTTTGGGGTAGGCAGCCAAACATGTCTGCCATATTTAGAATAGACGCTAAAGCTCTACTCATGCACAGTCCTACTGCACAAGCTCCTCTCCACAGACCCAGTCCGTCCATGGCTTGCTTATGTGGCCGTAGTTTCATATAGCTTTATGTTGTTCTGATAGTCCTTCCTCTTCAGTCCTTTCTCAGCTCTTGTTTTTACCTCTTCCATTGTTTTTTCTTCCTTCCCAATGTTCACATCCCTTCTTTTATGATTTTCTTTCTTGAGCTTTCTTTAGCCATTCTTTTAGGGTAGGTATGCGAGCAACAAATTCTTAGTTTTCCTTTTTCTGAGCTTGTCTTGATTTCTGCTTTATTCCTCAATGATATTTTGCCTGATATAAAATTCCAGGTTGAGAGTTCTTTCAGTGTTGTGCCACTTCCTTCTGGATTCCTTGGTTTTTGATGAGACATCCTTGTCATTTAATTGTTCTTCCCCTAAAGATAAGGTATAATTTCTCTCTGGCTGCTTTAAAGTTTTTTGTTGTTGTTGTTTTCCTTTGCATTGTTTTTTTCAGGTGTCTGTGATGTATCTTGCTTGGCTTGGATTTCTTGGAGTTTACTTATTTGGGGTTCAGTTAGCCTCTCGAATATGTATGTTGTCTGCCAAACTTGGGAAACTTTTGGACATTGTTTCTTTGAGTACCTTTTTAGCCCCACTTTCTTTCTCCATTCCTTTTGGAACTATCATGACATGAATGTTGGATCTCTTTTTAGAGTCTAAGTGGTCCCTGGACTCTGTTTTTCGTTGTTACTGTTTTCCCCTAGTCTGTTGTCCTTCTGTTGTTTAGTTTGCATAATTTATTATTGTTCCATCTTCAAGTCTGATTGTCTAATTCTGTCCTCTGTTTTTGTTTTTTTTTTTAATTCTGCTGTTGAGCTCATCCACTGAGTTTTTTGTCAGTTGTATTTTTCAGTTCTCCAGTTCCCTTTTCTTCTTTATAGCCTCTATTTTTTTCCCAAGATTCCCTTTTGTTTGTTTCCAGTATGTTTATAAGTGCTCACTGAAGCATTTTTTTAATAAGCGGATTAAAAATCCATATCAGATAATACTGACAGCATTGTTATCTTGGTATTGCTGCCTGTTGATTATCTGCTCAGTCAAATTGAGATTTTCCTGGATCCTGATACAATGAGTGATTTTTGGATTATATCCTGAACATTTGGGTATTATTTTATAATACCCTAGATTTAATTAACTCCTCTCTTTAGCAGACCTTCTCTGATACCAGTGTAAGAAGGTGCCATCTTATTACTGACTGAAGGGAGTTGAAGTCCAGATTCCCCACGCAGCCTCCACTAATATGCCTGGGCGGTGTCTCCTTACTGCTGGGTGAGGTTATTGAAACACAGGGATTTTTTTTTCTATATTTAGTGGGAGAAATACACATACCATATTTTTTTAAGCATCAGATCTGTTGGCATTTATCAATAGATTTAATTTGTCAGATCTCCTTTGTTTTGTAGATAAAGTATGATATTATAAACTGAGATATGTCCTTTATGCTAACACTTCTGTTAGTTCTCATTACTTAAGTAATATCATTCTGAATTGAGTTTGATTATAGCTCAGTCAGGGAGGTAACACTTTTTTTCTAGTCTTTTAGGTTCAGTGCCTGGGGCATGAGAATTTAACTAACAAGAGAGAGATTAACAAGAGAAAAGGCATACAATTTTTATTAATGTTTATGTGCATGACAGTTCACAGAAAAGAAGTGAAACTCAAAGAAGCAGTAGGCTTGGGCTTTTATACCCTTTTAACAAAGGAAGGAGAATCTGGGCTTCAAGAGATAATGGAGAATTGACTTATGGAAAGTGATTAGTAAATATATGAAGGAACTAATGGAAGGTAAGGGCTATTTTAGTAAGATCTGTTTATGCGAACTCATCTGCTGTCGACTCCCTGTCTTCTATGATGAGTCTGTCTTTCTCACTGTTATCAGGAAAAGGGAGCATCTTCCTCAAAGGGAAATTTATACCCTGCTTTTAGGCAGATAAGGGAGGGAAGGTAATTCTTTCTACACCTGTTGATTCTCACTTAGCTTTAGCTCAAAATAATCCTTTTGCCAAAGTGGCATATTTGGGGATGATATATTTTGATCTCCTTCTGCTGCAAGAACCACTTCAGTGTTAGGTCAAATCCTTCTACTATGCCAGTTTTCTCTACACTTTAAAATTTATAGATTCCATATTCCTTATTAAATTAAAGGCATGATAAGAATCACATAGTTTATTTTTTTGTATCATTTTTTAGAAATTCAGCACAATAATTCATGAAGAACATAAAGAAAGTAGTTCACATGAAAGCAAAATAAACTTTTTAACTAAAGTGGATCATGTCTGTGTCAATCATATTTGTTTGGGTTATTAATATCTCTGAAACCAACGTGAAGCGGGTGAAAGTTTACGTGCAACCCATAGAAATTTGAAATATGCTGCAATAGACAACTGAGCTTCTGCTTCTAGAATGAAGGGCTCAAATTCTATTTTATTATTCTTTAGTATTTAAAGTTTAAGAGGAGCATTTATCGTGAAATGATCTACCAGTAAATGAGATTAATAAATCAGTTAAACACAGTCCAGCATTAGAACAATTGAAAAACCATGGTTAAAAGTATATATTTTCAATAACTGAAAAGAGAGCATAACAGATGTAAGTGTCTAATTTCTCATAATTATGTGATCTATGAATAGGAAAAGTAAACAGCTTTAGAAAAATGCACATTTTAAATAAAGTTAAGAAATATACATTGATATCTTAAAGATATCAATGAAATACTCATGTGAAAAATTGCAGCCATTTACCCAATCAGTTCCAATATAAAATAACTACTTGAATTCCCAAAGAAGAGATGTTCCTTGTGTTCCTCCTTTTGATCATAGTTTTGGCATTGTGGTACTTGTGCATATTTTCTGTGGAATGTTAGCTATTCAGAATCTAATGAAAGTTCTATTTTTATAGGTGCATTGAGTCTTCTTCTAATGAAATCGTTTTTACTTTCTAAAAAGCAAAACAAAGGAGCACATGAGTTCTATGGAAAAAAAATTTCTTCTTTTTTTTCTCTCTAAATTTTATTTTATTGTAGAGATGTGTCTTGTAATGCTGTCCAGGCTGGTCTCAAACTTCTGGTCTGAAGCTGTCCTTCCTTCTCAGCTTCCCCAAGTGCTGAGACTACAGGTCTCTCTACCATTCCCAGCCTCTTCTTGCTTTAAATTTGTATATTTTTATTCAGATATCTAAC